TCACAGGTGGGAGCCGAGGAAAGCCGGCATGCCAGGAGCCCGGCCTCTCACCCCCGACCCCTCCCGAGCACTCCAACACGTGCCCTAAACTGAGCTAACCCGGGATGCTGCCCAGCCACCCCGGCCATCGGGGCATCCTGGAGCCGGCAAGCACTCACCTGAGTCTGTGCGGATCCGTTTGTCATGGGCTGAGGTACCACACCTAGGTGGGAGCCGAGGAAAGCCGGCATGCCAGGAGCCCGGCCTCTCACCCCCGACCCCTCCCGAGCACTCCAACACGTGCCCTAAACTGAGCTAACCCGGGATGCTGCCCAGCCACCCCGGCCATCGGGGCATCCTGGAGCCGGCAAGCACTCACCTGAGTCTGTGCGGATCCGTTTGTCATGGGCTGAGGTACCACACCTACAGACCACATAAAGAAAAAAGGCAGTAAATACACTCAGCTGGGACTGCTGGCCTCGGGTCCCAGGCAAGCACCCCTCAGCATCGCCCACCCGGCCACCCCGAGCCTGCCTTGCCCACCCCACCAGCTCCAGCCGCTCGGTGTGTCTTGTCTCTTGACTTTGTCCTGTGCCGCTTCCGAGCCCGCGCAAGAGCCTGTCCACCCACCTTGTGCCCTTCTGGAACCAAATTCTTTCCAATTCCCCTGACTTCACTTGATTTCACCCCGTTTTCATCAGAAGAAAACACCTTCCAGGAAGGGAACCAAGTAACCTCTTTCTATGAGCACGAAATTCAGCGCAGTTTTTTTTGACTCTTAAGTAATTTTTCTTCAAAAGCTGTTTAATGAGAAATCTTAAAGACCAACCCAAAGTTCTTCACCAAAATCAGCATCTTGTTGGTGTCACAACAGCCTGTGGCAAACAACCCGCTCCCCAGCTACCCTGGCATTTTTTTTTGCTCACTTCCAACAATTTACACTAATAATGTTCCACACAATGGCAAATTTTATGCAGATAAGCTGCCAGGCACCACAATCAAGTCATTGCTAAAAGCATTACCATGTCTCATCTGTCTCAGGCTAACAGATGTGTTAATCGTGACAGGATTAATAACTGAATTATGCCGAGCATGAATGCTTCTCGGGGCAAAGTCCTCACTCTCTGCATTCTCCAGCAGAAGACAATGATGTGGGTGCACGTCGCTGGATAACCCAAAATCCAATGAAGCAAGAGCAGCGCACGGTGCCAAATGTGGCTTGCAACTGCAGAAACCCAGGGCAGCTAATTGCACAGCTCCAAGGCCACCAGCTCCCTGCACCACGGACGGACACGGCTGGGCTTTGCGAAGGACCGGTTTGGGGGTGCATCAGCGGGAGCTGCAGGGATTCCTAGTGCAAATCAGGGCACCTTTGCGTTTAAAAAAAATAAACCCAGATCATAATTTTGAGAGTGTGCTGGTGCAAAAGCCTCAGTTATGGTGTTGGGATCCTTGAGTATTTTATCACACTGAATGTCGGACTCGTGTTTACAGTATGATAAGCTCTGAGCAACGGTCATCAGAAGAAAGTCAGCTCATAGCAGAAATGACACTAAAGTCTCCGGTATCATAAGAAGCTAAAAGATAATGTTATTTAAATGAGAAGCCAGCTTCAAATCATAAGCAATATTAAAGTGGAATTAGACTTAAAAAAAAAAATTTCAAAATTTGGCACGTCTGCAAATATTTTCATATTTCCTTAACCTTGAAAGGTGCATAGCTCTTAAAATACACTCATTGGCTAAAATGCCGAGGTGCTTCGAATCAGCTGTAAGACTTTGAAATTATCAGCTTGAGGTCAAAGCAGTTCGATTCAAGACTACGATTATTATTTCCTCTTATCCCACAAACAACAGAATTTTTGATTACTTTGTCATCGGCACACGTACTGTCACCGGCCAGGCAGGCCCAATTCTTGATCTCTGACGAATGCATCGAGACGGCAGCAAGCACTGCAGAGCCACGGCAGGGGCTTGAGCACCCGCTTGCACCCGCCCGCACCCCCCTGGCCCCGGCTACGTCCCCACCCCAGGGAACAAGGGCTCCTTTATCGCTCGTGCCAGCGGACAGCTCTCGCCCCAGCTCCTCCTCGAACCGACGCGGAGCATCTGACACCGCTTTCGCCCCGTGCGCTTCTCTGC